GAGCCCGTTTTTTTTTCTTCTCATTGCTGCTTCTGCTTCTATCATTTCTATCATTTTTGCCGCCTGCTTTATCTGTCCCTTCATGGGCCCGCTCGATATCCAGTGCATCACACACTCGACTGGCCGTAATGAGAACGAAGCCTAATGGGAGGTGCACCAGGGACACGAGGAGGTGATCACGGATGGCCAGTCACTTGACCTTTCCGAAGTCGAACGACGGTTTGACACACACGGTCCGCACCGTCTTCATTATTATCATCCCGACCATGCTGCTTGTCGCCTGTCCGAGGTTGCTAAACGCAATTCTTTCCTTCCCCCTTGGGGTACAGATACGCAAGGGGAACATTCATGGACATGTATTTCATGCGTCACGCACAACTTGTGCACAATGGAGTCGCCAATAATGAATAGCGCCATTGTAGCTCACGTGTGGGCGGCTTCACGGCCTCACCTAGATGAAGTTGACGATGCCCCTGCAACACTACCAAACACGCACGCCACAATCACGTGCCAGCGCTTGGCTTCCCCTTCCCCAGCAATGTCATCATATCGCTAAGAAGAGCCGCGAGGTACTTGATAGACATTCCCATCGAGCCGATGCTGGACGTGTGCTGATGCATGGCGGTCTCTGCTTTGATCTTACTCATGTGCGTTGGCCTAACGGAGTACTTGATGCCGTTTGTCGCTATTCCCCTACTCATCACGCAAGGCCCGTCCAAACGGCAACCCCACTCCTGGGTCCCAAAACCCGTGTCACCGGCCCCAAGATGTGGAGGCAGAGCAGGAAGGACGTCTTCTTGAGCACAAATTTGGTGTTGGGACGGATGTACTTGGCCTCTTTCGTTTCCACGGCAACCAGCAGCGGCGACCATGGTACCACCCTGTCGCTCTGTGGAGCCCGGCTCCAGGCGGTGTATGGCATTTAAAATGTCTTTGATTTGAGCATTGGTCTCTATAAGGCATCAAAACGGGAAAAAAAAAGAGAATTGATAATAGAAGAGGTGCTAGAACACAGCATACACCGCCTTGAAAAGAGAGTGGCTAGCCATCTCGACCTTTTTTTTTGTGGAACTCCATCCCGATTGTATTACAGGTGAAGTACGATTGGCCGCGCCCTTGCGAGGAGGCTTTGCACACCGTGGAATGTGAGCGATGTGCACCGCGCGGCGCTTAGGTGTCGCAGGGAGGAGCAAGCAGCCAGGCTGTTGATGTCGGAAACAAGATCGAGATCGTCAAGGATTAAATCTGTCAGAGTAGGCAGTGTTTCGAGTCCCTTCAGACCTTCTGATGTGAGGCGCTGGCACCCGCGAAGGTTAAGATATTCCAGACTGAAACAACCGTTTGCTAAGCACGTGACTGAGTCCACGCCACAAAACGCCATGTTGAGGTGGCGGAGCCTGGAACAGCGCTCGACCCCACGAATTCCAGGTGTGCGAAGTCGCTCCATCGACGCAACGTGGAGCACCTCGAGACGACGGCTCCCACCAAGGAAGCCAATTTCGTTTGCCTGACTACTCATTAAGGAAAGTGTGCGTAGTGTGGGATTTTCCTCGATACCTTGAAGTCCCTCGTTGGTGATATTTGGGCAGTGATCAATGTACAACTCCTCAAGTGATGTGATGTTCTTTAAAAAAGAAATACTTGTGATGGGAGTATGTGACATGCGAAGGATCTTAAGAACTGGGATGCTGACAAGGCCCTCGATTCCTTGCTGCTCGAGGTGCTTGCAATGACTGAGATCCAGTTCCACCAAGCTGCGAGACGTGTTCAATGCCTCCACGCTAATAACATTTGTGTTCTGCAAGCAGAGGTACTGCAGCGTTTCACAGCCGTCCAGACCGCTGATCGAGCCCTTCCGCACACGTTTGCATCCATTTAACCTGAGATGGCGTAGAGATTGGCTTCCAGTGAATTCAATGATCGAATCAACACGGGTGAACTCTAGCGCTAGCACTTCTAGGCGAGGAAGCACTCCAAGACCTGCAATAGAGGTTGTACCAATTCCGTTGCATCGTGTCAGCAGTAACTGACGAACTGTTTTGCATGTTGCTAAGAAGTCGGCATCCCGGAGGCCGTCCGTGTAAGCGAAGGAAACATGCTCCAACGGTGCCCTCTCCACTCCGTGCAGCGCCTTCTTGGAGGGCATACGACACGCCTGAACTATCAATTCCCGCAGCGACGTACTGTGGCCAATAAAAGCAAGGGCGTCCACAGACACCCGTTCGAGGTGCAGGACCTCTAGTGTGGGGATGCATTCAATGCCTTCCAAGGAAGACGTATTGAAAGAGGGGTCAAGTACCACGTGCAGCTCTCGCAGTGTGGTTGAGCATTGTAGCCCAGAGAGTTGTCGAACGGAGGTGCACTCGAGCCACAACACCTCCAAGGCGGGGAGATGCTCGAGGTCACGCGCTCCGAGAGTGTGCAGCTTTGTGTTAGAGAGGAGATACACCTCCCTCAGCTTAGTGGTATGGGCGAGAAACGGCAGCGATTCCATCGCGGAGGGGCAAATATAGAGAACTTCGAGGGAGGTCAAGTGCTGTAGACCCCGCACATCCACCGAGTCGAGAAGGCGCGGCGCACCACAGTTTTGTTCGTGCAACGCGGAAGAACCACAGTTGTCATGGCTGCTAATTGCCGCGCCAAGTGATGTGGCGCAAGGACCCTTTACGGCTAAGAAATCGTTTCCACAACTATGATTCCAAGCCTCCGCGTTGTGGATTGCGGTGCACCCAACAGTGCGCCGAGGGCTATTGTGGGTACGGCCAAGAGCACTCTCGGCGCCTCTGCCGGGTTCAATCTCCTCCACATAGGGAGCAAGCACGACCTCGTCGCTGAATGCCATTCGTGACGCCCCCAACAGTGGTGCCGGACGTCGTGATAGACAGAGAACGCGGAGGTTCGACTTCCCTGCAAGCATACTAACGATCCACCACCACACTTCCCGCGGTGGCTGCAGCATTCCCTCATCCAGTGAGAAATATAACTCCTGCAAGTTTGGCAACTCCGACACAAGGGCTTTCGCCAGCCAAGGCAAGTGGTGCTCGGTGAGATGAAGCGCCAAGCCACGCGCGCGGGTGACAATGCGAGAGCCTTCAACGTCACTGTTAAGGTGTTTCACGTCTTCCTCGCTGGTGTTGGGGTACGCCACCATCTCGTCGATGGCCAGCGGCATGCGATGCTTCACGGCCCACTGCCGGTCCTCCCCGCGACGCGGCCGCGCCAGCCAGTAAAGCAGATGTGGCGTTGGCGGTGCGGCATTGTTGGCTAGAAAAACGTGGCACGTACACGACATATCCTCGACCACTAGCACGTCGTTGGTGATGCCGCGTAGGCACGCCGCCGTCTGTGTGTCGGTGTTGTTGAGCGAGCCCTGCCGCCACAGCTGGTCGAGCAGCAACGCGCTGTGATGATTCTGACCGGGCTCCAGGCGCCTGCGATACTGTCGCGGGATAGCAACGCTTTCTCGAAACAAATTGCCGTCGCCGAGAATGAGTGTGGCGGTGGCGCTGCTCTCGCGCAACTCAGGGTAGTGCGCAGGGATTTTCTTCGAAACCAGGCTAATCCAGTCAAGCTGCTCCATCCGACGGCGCAGCCAAGGGGATGCGCCGGCGAGAGCCAGGGGTGCGGGCCGCCAGCTGTACGCGAGCACCACGTCCCAGTTGATTATGTGCTGCGACGACACGCCGTGCATCCCCGATAACTCAAGACGACTCGGCTTCTTTTCTCGTTGCGCCGGCGTTCCGCACAGTTGGGGATGAGGGGAGGGGGCGTAAGGGAAAGACAGAGAGCGAGGTAGCGAAAAAGGTGTTTTCACCGCCCTTTCTTCCCTGCCCTATCGTCTCTTACGTGATTTGCTTCTTCTGTCTTCTTCGCCTTTTGTACTCGCACTTCTTTATCCTTTTTTCTTATTCTTCTCCCGTGTAAAGCAGACGGCTGACTTCAATGCACAAAATCAATCTGCTGCCGTGTGGGCCTGCCTGCATGCCAGGGCGACCCCCCCCCACACACACACAGAGAGTGAGAGAGAGGGAACGATGCCTGCACCTACCCACTGCGTGCAGGCGCGGTGAGGATTAAAGTGGCGGAGAGGACTCACCACTTGCGGAGCGTCCCTCGCGTTTTGCTCAGCCCGCTGCCTCTGCTGGCTCTCCTACACTTCCCCACTGCCACTATACCACGCCGTGCTACTTGAAAGGGTTTGTGAACAAGGAAGGAGAGAGAAAGAGAGAGGACACGCAGCAGAAAAAAACATATTTTATCCACACCCATGCACACCGTGTGTGTCTTTGGGGAAGTTTTGCTGAACGTGACCTCGCACGTGTGCGCAGTGGACGGGAGGAATGCTTTACACGAAGCTGAGTGGGTGTTTTTCCCGTGACGCGCTTTTCTTCCTTCTCTGCTTCATCACCATCATCATCACATATGTTTTCTCACTGCGACGGCGTTGCCGTGGAACTAACAGCAGCGAGCGTGCAAGAAGCGGAGTTGGAGTGAACATGACACAAATACTGTCACTGCCCCTCCTTCATTACGTCCCCTCCGGCACTTCTTTGCTACTGCTTCTGTTGTTGATTGGCTTCTTGTTTTTTTTTTTTTTACTCTTGTGCGTTTGCGTTTTCCTCTCTCTCTCTCTCTCCTTTTCTTTCGCTTACTGCTGGTTGTTGTTGTTGTTGTTGCTGCTGTTGTAGTCGCGGAGAAGGTCATTTCGTGCCATCTATTTGCGGCAGGCGGTCAGACACACATGTTCAGATGCACACGCCATGTCGCACAGCTGCCGCGGAGGTCGCCACGCAGCAGCAACAGAGCAACAACAAACGTACATGCGCACACAAATACACAATTCACACGCACGCACACACACACACACAAAAAAAAAAGCGGTGTCCGGGGGGGGAGAGAAAGATAGATAGATAGATAGATATATAAAGAAGGACGGAAAAAAAAGGCAAATGAAATGAGACGAGATGCCTTTCCTTCACGACCCATTCTTCGTCTTCTGCTCACAAGCCTACTCTATTCCCCTATTCACGCAGCCATTCATTGGCGTTTGCTCGCGTCGTCCTTCAGTGCCGCTAAACCGACCGCTGGTGTGGGGATCCGGCAGCGCTGAAGAACGACGCGAGCAAACACAACGCAGCCGCAGCCGCAGCATTATTGAGAACAAAAAAAAAATCATCAAAGCCTCAAACAGCAAACAAACACAAAAACAGCAAAGACACACGAAGAGAACGAGAAAAATGAAAGCAAGAAACATGACCAGAGGAAACACCAAAAATGAAGTAGTAGGATGAGGAGAGAGAGATTGAATGATAGTGCTGCACTCCCAGCCCCATTCCGCAGTTTTCATCCGCGCTTTCTCGCCTTCACCTCCTTCGCATTCTGTGTCTTCCCGTTTCGGACGGCGCCTCGCGGTCTATGCGCGCCTTCCCGGTCAGCGAAACAGCCTATGCATCGCCGCAATTTCATTGCCGTCGACATCGTCATCGTCGTCGTCGTCCTCATCATCGTCCTCTTCGTCGCCCTCCTCGTCGTCGCCGTCGACAGTGAAGAAATGGTGACTCAGCCACTCCGGAATGAGCGAGGAGAACTGTTCCCCGAAGAACGTCACGCTGCCGGGACCATCCACCTCCAGCCACACTGACCCGTCCACGTCGAAGCGGAGGTCGACGTTGCTGCAGATGTCCGTCACCTGTGGAAGGGCCACGTCGAAGAAGCCGGCGAGCTGCACGTGCTCGACGGGGTGCGCCGCTGCGGCGACGGACGAGGGCGAGC